TGTTGCAGTTGTTCATGGGCGGCGGTAGTCACTTACCATCAGGTGAGCCGCATGCTCGTTTGTCCCCTCTCCTATAAAAAAAAAATACTTCGTCGTTATGGCAGCAATTTTCTCCCCGAGTACAACGTGTGTACTTTCCAGACAAAAGTGAATAAGCTTTTGCTGTACTAAGATGGTGAGATAGGACCACTAGTGTACCATAACACTAAGGAAATGCTTATTTTATAGGATACCAATTATGCACAGTATGCACTTGCAGATAAGAGAGAGATATTAAAATTTTTATTCAGGCCAGGGGATTTCAGAAACACACGTATCAGCAACTTTTCAAATAATCCAAAGCATATGAACTCTCTTTACTATCGCAATATCCATTATTGAGAACTCCATACATTCATAAACATACGTCTATATTAAGAAATAGTATTTCATCGTGCACGTATTATATGTTTACTCAAAGAGAAGTGATGGAATGTATGCCTGAGCAAATATCTCTGCATTGTATTGAACGCATTTTAATTCCGAATATCAGTACCAGAATTTAAGTTTTCACGACTTGTGAGGGTATTCATATAAGGTTACATTTAGTGAAGAATAAAACAGAATCAATTTAATTTTATATAAATTACAAGAAACTTATTAAATGTCATTATTCTTTTACCACTGGTTCGGAAAAAATAAACACTGTCCTGGTAAGAACCAGCAAATTACTCGTATCCAGCAGAACTTTTGCTTAAACATTATTTACAATATGATATTTTATTTAATTAAATATGAAAATGTTTGGAAACAAAAGCAAACGATCACTTCATTGCCAGGGGTAATTATCGTCGAATACTTTCGCGAGAACGAGAGAGAAGGCATGTGGTGGCAATGGAAATGGGCACGCGGCTCTCTCACCTAAATATGGAATACCTAATCCTATAAATACCTGCTATACCAGATGTCATAGGTGCGTTACCGGCCTTCTTAAACCATTGATGCGACTGTTAGTGATCAAGTAACTAATTTTTATTTTTTTAAATTTTATTTATTAAGATATACAAACAAATATACAAAGCTATGTATACAATTATATTAAAATGAGTAAAGTATATGTTAGCTTTATAACAAATTACCCGCACACATAAAAAAATGTTAGCTCGTTCAACGCATTCAAGAAACAATTGTATGAATATCGTGTTGCAAATGACTGACTTAAATAATCGTGAATGCGTTGCGCAGGTGAAGTGTGTGTATTTTTCGTGAATTTAATTTGGTGAACGACTATAGAATTTAATTTCAGCTATGTACTCATGTAAGTGACATGCATTTGTCTTAATGAGTAATAAATATCTTTAAACCTACATTCAGCATCGTATACCGCGTATTAGTACAAACAATAAGTAAGGAGTTGAAAAGTTACTATCACAAAAATACATAACTATTAAACTGTATAGCTGACCGACTAACTATTAAACTGTATGCTGGCCGACTTCATGGAGAAAGAGGAACTCTTAATGATGAACAATTTCTTCCAAAAGCGGCCCCACAGGAAGTGGAGCTGGTCGAACCCCGACGGTTCGACAAAAAAGGAGATTGACTTCATTATGACAACCAGATGACAACTGTTCAGTGATGTCTCCGTGATCACTAGGTTGAAAACCGGCAGCGATCACAGAATAGTGAGATGCACACTGAACCTAAACATTAAGTTGGAGAGGTCACGTCTAGTGAAGTCAACATTCCATCCTCCTCGTGCTCTAATCCATAGTCCCGAAACCTTTCAGCTCGAGCTACGAAACCGTTTTCAGTGCCTATAAGATAGCAAATCAGTGGACGATATGAATGACAAGCTCGTGGAAACTGTCCACGTGGTCGGAGTTAAGTTTTGCAAGACCCGCCGAAGAACACAAAAACTCTCCGATGACACTCTTAATCTCATGGCTGTTAGACGGGATATGAAGCTGCAGTCTTCAGTAGATTCAACAGCATACAGGCAACTGAACAGACAGATCTCCAAATGTATTCGGCGGGACTTACGCAATTATAATACTGCTCGTATTAAAGAAGCCATCGAGCGGAACCAGGGCTCCAAAGTCTTTGCTAGAGACCTGTTTGCCAGAAAGAGTCAACTGTCGAGGCTGAAGACCGAGTGTGGCAGCGTCATTTCCGGGACATCTGAGATTTTGAGTGAGATTGAGAGGTTCTATTAGCAGCTGTACACATCATCGTTGGAGCCACACGCAAGTGTGAGTAAAGATCCAAGAGCGAGTCTTATCCGACATTATTCCGATGATATCTCGGACGTCAGTTTGAGCGAGATTAGAATGGCTCTCCAGCACCTTAAAAACGGCAAGGCTCCAGGCAAGGATGGAATTACAGTGGAGCTTCTGAAAGCGGGTGGAAAACCGGTACTTGAAGTCCTTAAGAAGCTCTTTAATTCCGTCCTCCATGGTAGCATTACACCGGAGGCGTGGAGCAGAAGTGCGGTGGTCTTTTTCTTCAAGAAAGGCGACTACGCTCTCTTGAAGAACTACAGACTGATTTCCCTTCTGAGCCGCGTCTACGTGCTGTTTTCGAGAGTCATTACGAATCGTCTCGCGTGGACTTGACGACTTCCAGCTTCCCGAACAAGCCGGTTTCCGAAAAGGCTTTAGCTTCATAGACCACATACATATACTTCAGCAAATTGTACAGAAGTCCGAGGCCTTTAATTTCGTCGAAATTTGGGCAGAGCTGCAGTACCTTCAGCGTTGCCAAGTTGACTATCGGTATATCAAAGTGCTAAAGTGCTTGTACAGTAGGGCTACGATAGCTATCCGAGTACAGAACCAGAGTACGAAAGCTATCTAATTGCAGAGAGGTATAAGACAGAGTGACGTTATATCCACTAAATTCTTATCCACTGCATTGGAAGACGTTTTCAAGCTTCTGTACTGGAAAGATACGGTATTAACATCAATGGCGAGTATATTACTCACCTTCGATCTGCCGACGATATAGACCTTATAGCAGAATCGCTGGAGGACCTTAGCACTATGCTCAATGACCTCAATAGTGTTTCCCAACGGATAGGTCTTAAGGTGAATATGAACAAAACAAAGATCATGTTTAATGTCCATGTCACAACTATGCCGGCAGTTGTTGGTAGCACTAAGCTCGAAGTTGTTGATGAGTATGTTTACCTGGGATAAATAGTCCGAATAGGTAAGTCGAACTTCGACTGAGTGGTCAATCGACGGATTCAACTCGGTTGGGCAGCGTTCGGGAAATTACGGTACATTTTCTCGTCAGTATACCTCAAAAATTTGTAAATGTAAAATTTAACCTTGTGCGCGTGTTGGATTTTCTGTAAGCCACAAGTTTATGAATTAAATAAATAAATAAATAAATAAATAAATAAAACTTGAAAACGAGACTGTACAACCAGTGCGTGTTGCCAGTGATGACCAATGGAACTGAGACGTGGTCCTTAACTGATGGCCGGATGAGCAATCTCAAGGTCGCTCAGCAAGCTATGGAGAGGGCTATGCTCGGGGTTTCTCTCGTGATTAACTTCGAAATGAGGATATGAGCAGTAGAACCAGAGTAACAGACATAGCCCAACGGATTAGTAAGCTGAAGTGGCAATAGGCCGGCCATATAGCTCGAAGAACCGACAACCGATGGGGGAAAAAGGATCTCGAGTGGCCACCTCGTACCGGCGGACAAAGTGTAGGGCGTCCTCCCACTAGATGGAGTGACGACCTGTTAAGATATGCAGGAAGTCGATGGATGCAGGTGGCCCAGGACCGTGCTTTGTGGCATTCCTCGGGGAAGGCCTATGTTCAGCAGTGGACTTGTGAACGGCTGTAATTATGATAATGAGGATTAAACTGTATCAAAGAATCTTGCACGAATTAAATGTTAAATTTTTATGTACTTGTCATTTATTCTTAATTTTATTATTGAAAGTTCAAATATGAGGCAGAAAAAATATCAATATCGCTGAAATAATTATTATATGATTGCACTATGCGTTGTAATGGGGAACGTAGGCCAGCGTTAGTATGACTGACTATTGTCATAAATAGTTTATGCGATTATTTCTCACGAATACCTTGTGAACAACTAGGAACGCGATAGGATATTTGATAAGTGAGTGGAATACAGTCAACATCATTATAACATGTGTATACAAATATAAAGAAATTGTGAGTATTCTTATTTTTTAAAGAGGTAGAATCGAAAATTTGTCTAATAAATGAATATAACTCGTGTAAAAGCAGTGATAGCGGTTATAGTTAACTGTTTTTAAGTATTTGCGTTGAATTCGCTCTAACTGTTGATTATATTTATCATAGAATTCCAAATAATAGAGGCGTACTCCGATATTGGTCTGATCAGAGATTAAAACGGGTATAATAACAGCGAATAACAAAACCAAATATACAATAGGCTTTGTTGGTATAGTTCATTTCAAATAGGATGGCAGGATTCCACTTGAGACTTAGCAATTACAGCTGTAATGTTAATCTATTGTTGTGTGATTATTTTATTGCTTTAACACTTGAAGTTAAGCATCTGTTGATAATAATGAACCAGTATAGCTGGAATGACGAATTTTGGTACTTGAATATTAAAACAAATTAAATTGTAGATAAAAAACCTTTATTACTTTTAACCTTACTATTTTAAATACATATAACAACTTGTTAATATTTTGTTTAATCAATCACTCTGAAGAACATTCATCGGTATCTGTGTCCTCACACGTATTTATTATAAATGGTTGTATCCGATCCCTCGAAAATTCGTTTTCTACTCTTATGACATGGTCACAAACATTCTTCCAAAAAATGGGATTTGTAGAATTTATTACGTTTCGTACACTTTGGATTACATTTTCCCCTATTGTAGGCGTAACGTTTGACTTACGGACAGTTTTTTTTATTTGACTCCACATTAACTCAATTGGGTTCAATATACAATAATAAAGTGGGAGTCTCATTATCTCATGACCAGCCTCTTGTGCTAATTCATCGACCACATATTTTTTTTTCAAAATAATTGTTTTTGACTACTTCCAACAAACTTTTAATTGTTGATTTCTCTGGCACAGAAATGTTATGACTTCTTAAAAAGTCACTTTTCCTAGTGTTTGTGCTGGGAATTTTTTCTATTTGTCGGCTGTGGTATGATGCGTTATCCATAACAATCACACTGCTACTGGGAATATTAGGCAAAAGCTGATCAGTGAACCATTTCTCGAATAATCCAGAATCCATATCTTCATGGTAGTCTGCACTAGAGCTTTTCAAATGTTTGCTAGAGATCAGTAAAGCCCCTGGTATCCAGCCCTGTTCACCGCCTGCGTGTAATATTATTAAACGTTTACCCCTAGAACATGGAGCTTTAGTTGTACAACTTGGTGAATTGTCTGTGTACACTTTTTTTAGAGTATCGTGAGTGTCAAACCATGTTTCATCTAAATATATTATATTTTTTCCTGCCGACCTTCGTAAACGTATTTTATTAATAAATTTTTCCCTTAGTAATAAAAGTCGGGGACTTTCCATTACAGTTCTTCTTTCATCTAATTTTCCATACTTGAATCCAAGTTTTTTTAATAGTCTCCAGAGTGTAGTTTCTGAATATTCAAAACCAGTTTCACTTCTCATCAATGATTGATAAATCTCACGTAACGTTGGAATCTCATTGTTGAGGTAAAAATTGTAAATAGTCCTCCTCACATGTTCCTCTGTAAAATTATCAATTCTTTTAAAACTTATCTTGGTCCGTTTACGTGGAAGATGATTAGATCCTGCTGACACTATTCTACAAACAGTTCTTATAGGCACGTTTGTTAATTCCGATGTCTCTTTAATCTCTCCCTTATCACCCATGCGTTTCAAAAGTTTATTGTAAACACTCAAAACTATGTCTTGAGCGTCTGAACTTCTACGCTGAACACTATTTTCATCACTTGTAGATGCACTATTTGATATTTCTCATGGTCGAAACATGTTTATTTGTACGTCTGTGTAATAACGAAGTTACAAGACGACTGAATTTTTGACAACAATGTCATCGTGTATTTAACAAAAGCATCAAAACTTGTTTGCTGCCACAAAAATACCACGTCAGGATAAGGTCTTCCCAGGTATCGGTTGTAAATACCACTTCTTTTGTTATCGCCTAATGACCGTTTCAAGTACAATCCTGCCATGCTATTGAAATGAACTATAATAAATACGTGTGAGGACACAGATACCGATGAATGTTCTTCAGAGTGATTGATTAAACAAAATATTAACAAGTTGTTATAAGTATTTAAAATAGTTAAGTTAAAAGTAATAAAGATTTTTTATCTACAATTTAATTTGTTTTAATGTTCAAGTACCAAAAATCGTCATTCCAGCTATACTGGTTCAGTATTATCAACAGATGCTTAACTTCAAGTGTTAAAGCAATAAAATAATCACACAACAATAGATTAACATTACAGCTGTAATTGCTAAGTCTCAAGTGAAATCCTGCCATCCTATTTGAAATGAACTATAACATAGTTAATGTGTTTGCTAAAATAAAGTTTTGAGTCTGCTACAAGTCCTAGATTTTTAATTAGGTCCACTTTACATAACTCTGTGTTATTAATGGTATAGGTATACTTCACGAAGTTGCGCTTCTTTGTAAATGTTGTTGATTTAGACTTTTTAACATTAATCTGTAGTTTATTTAGTACAGTACAACAATAAACGATTGGGGTCACTTTGTAACTTAAAGCTATCATCAGAGTTAAGTAGCGACAGGGATACATTTGGGTCATCAGCGTAAAGTAAGAAATGACTGCGACAAAACCAGTTCTTAATGTGATTGATAAATAAAATAAACGGTAAAACACTGAGAATAGAGTCTTGTGGTACACCGCATGTGACATTAATAAAATTAGATAACTTTCTGAGTTCTGTAGTAAGGTAAGTGAGTAAGGTCTAAAAGGTGTTTATTATCTTGTGTATCCGGTGATAAAGTACTAAATTGTAACCTTTGTGTAAAATGATACAAAGATAAAAAATTATAATTGTAAGCTGAATATGTGTAAAAATATGTGCAAAATTAAAACAAAGTTCTAAGTTGCAAACATTTTTGTTTGTTAATTGTAATATATTATGTGTCAACAACAATAAAGGTAGTATGTTTAGTAAGATGTTCTCTAACGGCAGCAGTACGGACGAATGTGGGAAATGGAACGCAACGATGTGATGAAAGGGACGAGTAATATTAGGAGAGACGGAGAAACGTAGAGTAGATACACGATGGCGTTTTCTTTTAAAAGTGTTAAACGTGCGCTTAAAGAGAATAAACAATTTGTTTCGAAAATCCTGATATTTTACTCTGAGCTCATTCACACACACACACACACACACACACACACACACACACACACCATTTCTAAATTTTTTCTCTGTCTGCGTGTCTGTCTGTTTGTATGTGTGTCTGTCTGTTTGTATGTGTGTCTGTCTGTTTGTATGTGTGTCTGTCTGTTTGTATGTGTGTCTGTCTGTCTGTCTGTCCACCTGTTCAGTAGTGGTCTAGTATCTTCGGAACGGCTTAACTGATTTTAATGTAACGTCACAGACAAATAGAAAGCAATTCCATACAATTTTGATGAGATAAACACGGCTTTTAAAAAAAAAACGATAAATTGGTAAATTAAATAGATTTTGATTATATTTAATCTAAATAACATTTATAGATCACACATATTAATAGCTCTTCCCTAGGCGAAGACGGGTAAGGTCACTAGTCTTCAATACAAACGTATTTTATTCATGATTATTACAGCTTCACATATCTACTCATTAGAGCAGACTTGTCAAACGTAAACTTAGCAGAGCGAATTCCCAGCGACAATTTGTGTTGTTGCTTTTTGCACTACATCTAACGAGCTTCGTTTTATTAGGACTTCTTACTCGTTCTCTTGGAGTCGTTTACCGCCAGCAATATTTTTACCAGACCGATACTACTTAGGTACCATCAAGAAAAGAGCTTACTCTTTTCTATAAGGCCGGCAAAGCACCTGCAATTCCCCTGGTGTTCTTTTAATTCATGGGCGACGGCAATTACTCACCATTAGGTGAGCCGCACTCTACTTTGCCCCTGTTCTATAAAAAAATCGAAGTAAGGTTGTGTCGTGGTCACAGCCGTGTTATTTATGTGAATACGTATATGTAACGCGTAATTTTGATAATGATGATACCGCAGCCCATGATGTAGTTACAATTTGTCTGCGCTAGCGCAGTGTTATGATATGATCTCAGGTCAATGCCAGCACTGGCTTGAAATCTTCCATCCACGTCTCGTTAATTGTCAAGTAATCAGATCGCTTCATGATGGACGCCTTAATTATTGAACGTTCCCTACAGTGATTCACTCTATTATGTGGTATTTTATGGGTATCCCTGGATTGGTTTTGAGAAACCCGTTCCAACCATACACCATATTTTGATTTGGCCCTTACACGAGTATAGACTCACTTATTTATTTAAATTGTTTGCTTTAACATCAAATATATTTACTATACCTATTGCATACAAATGATTTGTATATGCTGTCGATAGATGCATCAAAAGAACACATATCTGACTTAAAACACCAACGTTTCGTAAAGTCTGCAGTTTGTGATCATATCTTAGACGGCTCCCACCATTATATTAGATTTGATAAACCACAAGTTCTCGCGAAAGAACATCGATTCCTGCCAAGAATGATACGTGAGGCTATTAAAATTAAAAAAAAAACATCCTTATTTTAATAGAGAGGGAGGCTGGGTACTACCACCTGCTTAGGATCCTGTAATTAATAAAATTAAAACTAAACCCAAACATACCACTGCAAGACGTCGAGACACAGTAAGTTCATTCTGCGTAGATCGGACCAAAATTAATAATTAAAAAAGCTGAAGGTACTCCGGGTTAACTCTGACATAGGGACGTCAATCAACTCAGTCCCCCGTGACCATAGGTGCTTTAAAGTAGGCGAAACGTCGGGAATCAATAAAAAAAACAAGTAAACTAAACACGATAGAATCCGTAAAAGTAGTTTTATTCAAAAACAATTTTATACGAAGGAGATGTATAAGTATGAAAAGCAAGTATTAAAACTAATAATTTTGTACAGCCGACTTCAATATAAATTGTTAATAATAACTCAAAAACTAGTTGTCAGACCTTAATCAAATTTGTATTGCACTACATAAGGAGCACTAGCTTTCAAATAAAAATTTATTAAAATCGGTTCACATTGAAAAAAGTAAAGAGGACACATAAAAAACATACAGTCGAATTCACTACCTCCTCCTTTGTGAAGTCGGTTAAATATGTTTGCTTTTTTTTTCTGCTACTATTAAATCATAAATTGTAATACTATTAGTCACAAATTTTAATTAAGTACCGAAGGTAATAGGTCCGTTTTTTATATGCAATTTACTATGTATCTCATTGTAAGTGAAACTCTGTATATTATGAAAAACAAATTCATTAAACCTAAACGTAATCCTATTTATAGGTGTATTCACTAAATAGGCACAAGGAGTTAGAATTTATATTAATTATTTTTAATGTGCGTCCGCGATTGTGCTTGAGATGGAAGTGTCGATGTAGGGATTGCCGCTCTCCCTATCCTCCGTAGCCAAATCTTAGGTGGCGTCGGAGTCATAGACCAGATCCGCAACTGAGTTCAGGAAGGCTAGTGCTTTTGAGCGCTCGTTTTTCTGGCCCAACGGCCTTCGCGCATCGGCCACGTGGGCGTCTGTTACGCAGGTATTGTTGTGGGCCGCCGAAGAATACGCGCCATGTGTACTGGTGTGCCTTATCTGAGAAGGAGATGGGAAGGTGTAGTCCTCTCCAGAGGAGGGGCCACGATGACTATAGCCAGTGCTGGTGAGGCTGAGGATGTGTGCAGAAGCGTTCTTGTGGCCCTGCTTATATGCGATGAATGTGGAACACCATGGTGTTTAGTCAGTGCGAGTCCAACATAATCCGTCCTTGCCCCCGCGAGGCGGGTAGGGGTAGGCATTTCTCCACTTAAAACAAAAAAAAACTTCTCTAATACCTCACTTAGATTACCTATTCTGAAGAATTAATTAATTCGTTCACTCGTTACTCTTCCTCGTTCATTCTTGTTACGCGTACAAACTCCCAAAGCGTTCTTTTCTTAATCCATGTCACATCATTGTTTTTCTTTTTTATTCCCCGATATAATATTGAAAGTTTAAGATATGAATAAAAGATATATGCCTTGACCTCTTGTTATTTGCCGCTAGCTGTACGCGTGAAAATTTTGTACAGACAACATTTTGGCGCTGGAGCTCTCCTGGCAAATTAATGTTACCGCATTGTCTGCTTAACAAGTAAACAATTCATTCTCCCTACACACCAAATACTTGTATATATGGATAATTAGTCTATTATTAAAATATATTTGTTATTTAGTAGTAATGTTTTGATTTCCGTTCAGAAATATTTGCATTACATTGTGGAATATAATCTAATGACGTTAATGACGTCACTTCGAGGAATACATATAAAGACATTTATTCTAATGTCTTTATGTGGACTTTTGGGCTCATTTGCAATTATAATCTTTACATATAAATGAAATTGAAGTATCTGTTGAAAATACTGAAATCATGTTAAACTTATGGAGTTATTTCCTTGCTAACAAAGTAACAATTAAAAAAATCTGTCTGTATTTGCCGTCCGGACTAATCTTTAGAATGGTTGACCTGATTGTAATGAAACTTGGCGAACAAATAGAGAGAAAACGAATAGTAATCTAGGCTTTATTTTATTTAAAAGCTTTTACAAAAATTTACTTCGCAAATATCCGCGTTATAAAATAAAAT